GGAACGCGTGCCTAATATCCCGTCATTTGATTGCTCAATACGGATCGGGGGAGGTGCAGTCAAGTGGGGCGTACGGCTCACCACTTCCGGCTGTCTTGTTAGGCCGCCTCGCTCCGCTTCGCATCCCGCCTACTAATTGAGTAATTTATGCGTGTTTGTCGTTACGCATCCGCCACCGTAGCCAAGTGAAGACCCTTTGCATTTCTGTCTTGGAGGCCCGAGCACTGCGACCCCCCGCGAAAGCCATTTAAGCCCGCCAACGCGTTATCTATGCCGAATGCCGGGGACATTTTCACCAGTCAGCTGGATATTGTGTACACACAGCGTAAATGGCCACAATATCCCTTAAATCGGTAAAGAAAATAGGTGTCTTTAAGCCGGATATAGCAGCTAAGCAGTATCGGCCGATTTCATAAACTTAACAAAATTGGTTTTTAGTGCTCGAACACCATATTACCCTTACTTTTTAATCATTTTTTAATTTTATATATTAGAAAGGTGTTTATGAAACTATCTTAAATAAATATTTTTGAAATATTTGGAAAATTCAGCATTAAAAATTTTCATAAAATTAAAAAACCTACATTTTAAGAAACAAAAATATGGCATGTTAATATATAACAACAAAACAAAAATATTTTTTTTTCAATAATAATATTTTTATTTCAATAAAAATAATGATGTTCAGGCAACTATTAAAAACTATAGTAAACTAATAATTGTAGTGTTATATTATATAATCAACACATGACCTTAAGTTTGACAGCAACTTCTTATAATATAAGAAATATATTATTCTTCGAACTTAAAATATATAATTCTCTGAGTGTAAGAGGCTTGTTTGCTCGGTCTCAGCCACTTTCTCTGAGGATGGCACGGCGTTTGTGTGTCGCAGCAAATTCATAAAACGTGACAAGAAATGCAAAATGATTCCAGAGCGTCTACCTTGATTGAAAAAGGAAAAAGCGACGGGCTCGAGTGGTAGAGGTAAAGTTAGAGGCCTGCTAAATTAATTTGGCATTTCTTGTGGCGGGTATCCGGTGACGGTATCCCCTTCGGCGCAGATTCAAGGATTCCCAGATTCCCAGATTCCCGACCGTGATTTATGCGAAAAGAGTTCAGCCCGAAGAGGCCAAGATGATTCCCTGACATGACTCTTTCACACTCTTCGAGCTGAATAGCCCGAGGACTTTAAGCCAGTTGGGGATTTCGTGATGTGTCGTTTACCTAAAATTTAAAGTTAACTTAAAGCAGAACGCAGATGGCTGCTATTTAATTCACATTGTAAATAGAGTTATTAAAAACTTCCTGACATATTTTTTATTTACTGTTGTCAATTGGAACTCACAGTTTAATGCACATTAATAACTGCCCACTTGATTGTTTGCCCATTAAATTAATTAAATGTATCCCTTTTTGCAGATAGGTTTTATCTTTCCCTATTACATTTTTTCAGGAGCTTACATTAATTTATTGTATTGGTTTGAGTGCTCAGTTGACAAAGGCAACACACCGAATCTTCAATTAATATTATAAATTATAGAACAACGAATAAATTATCGAAAAGTAAATAGTCCCCTCTTTTAACCTTTGGATTATTTTATACTGCTTATTATGACTTAATTATAAAATATTGAAACCATAACATTTATGTCTGTATACTGATTTAAACATTTTAAATTCTAAAATAAGCACGCAAAACAATTGCAGAAGTACCTCATAATTTATTCCTGTAAAACAAAGAACAAAATTAAAAGAGGGGGTTGTCATGGTCCTGTTGTTTTTGCCATTTGGTCCTTGAATAAGCCATTGAGCAGTTTTTTGAAGAAATGTTTTGTTCAATTGCTGATTCTGGGACCCAATGCGTTGGCTATAAAACTCAAATTGTGTGCTTAAAGTGAGTAGAAAAAATCATCTTCTTCTCAATAAATTTGCCATGTATTTGTGATGTTCTATGCAAAACTTTCAGCATCCTGTCGGTAATGTCCTGTCCGGCATTTGCCTTATTATTCTGCTGCATCAGCTTTTTGTTTTTTCCTTTTCGTGTAAGTCTGTTTCGGTGTCCTTTTTGCTTTATTATTGTGCTCCACTTTCGGAAAATACTTTATAAAGTTCTTAATGCGTTTTATTGCTTTTTTTAACTGCACAAGTAAAAAGTTGTCTACAGTGACGAAGCTGAATTTTTAATTTACATTATCAATTTCTTTTTGTATAATCAAAACTATTCAATTAGTTACTTTTTCATTCTTCCTTTATTTTGTTTTTGGTTTTTTGTCAAATTTTCCTTGTGCAAATGAATAGCATGCTAATGACTTTTTTATGCGTGTTTTATTGGCAACGAAGGACATAATTTATTTTATGCAATTTTTGTATTAAATGAGCATGGTAAATTCGGAATTCAAGGCATTTGTCAGAAAACAAAGTTGTTGGTCAGAAAAATCCTTGGGCTCAAAACAAATGGCCAACACAAAAAGGTTAGGGATAAAAAGGGTTATTTCTTTTATATTATACTCACCCACTCCGTTGTTGTGTTATTCATTAGAAAGTAACTCTCTTGATTCTTTCGGCCTTTCGCTGACAAATTGCTTTAGTCAGGTGATGGTTTTGTCTTTTTTCTTCTTTCATATTAATTTCCGGTTTCTAACTATAGGCTGTGGCCTAATGGCTCATATTTATTATGATGCCATTCACTGTTGTGATACTTGATGATGGAGATTAGATTTCAATTCTATTATTAAACATTAAGTTTATTAACCTAAACACAAATCTTTATAATCATATCAAAGCTATTTTCGGATGAGATTTTATGGAATTCCCCTACTTTTATATGTTTTCTATTATTTTTAACAAAGCTGTACACTTATGTATTTAGTCAAAAATGGAAAATATGCCTCAATCACCATCAGCAAATCATATTTAAAACCTATTCCGCTGACTCTGATTTTGAAATTAGTTTGAATAGGGATTGGATTGCCGTCCTGTTTTGCTCCGTATTTCTCCCTTTTCCACGCCTGAAAAGCAATTTGCAGTATCTAGAATCAAATTGCAATCAATCATTTGAAATGCAAAACACACACAGAGGTGCTTAATCAACAGATGGCGTTGGTGTACTGGGTGGAAAAATTATTTGGTCATTTCCTCGTGAGGTGGAAAGATAGGGGAAAAGCGGGAAAATGTGTTTTCACGATGAATGCCCGACAGGTAGAGGCTCCAATAATGGCTGTGTGATGAACAAACACACATTCGTACACCGTGACATAGTAGACTAGTACAAAAAGTTTTAAAACGGAAACCATCGAATACGAGTTAATAAATAATAATTGAGAACTCGCAATAATACAAATTCAAGAAGGGTGTCCGTCTACAAATTACTACAATGTACTAAAACAGCTCTAAGAAACAATTTAAATTCTTACAAAAAAATGTAAAGCGTTTTTCGGCTATTAACTGAAAATAGTATGCTCTTTTTGAACAGATGACTGTCAAATAGAAGTCCTAGGCACATATTTCCCCCTTATTTTTTTCTGAGGACATTGAAAATCCTTACACAGTGCCATAAATAATTGAAAACACCTTGGCGATGGCAGGTCGGAAATGAAATTCGATTTGTTGGCGATGGCTCAGTTTTGTTTTGGGGTGGGCACTCGAGACCCTGAACTTTGTCCGCGTTGAACAAAGTCGTTTTCAATTTTAAGTTTTTTTGGCTGGCAAAAATTTTATTTCATACTTACAAAACATTTTGAGCTTGTTAAAATGTTATCAGCACTTTGACGGCCAGACCAAAGCCACTTCCACCTCGAAGGCCCCGACCAAAAACAGCACTTAGAGGGCAAATATTTGTTTGCAATTTAAATACGCCTTAAGCGACTTGTCAAGTCCGGGTCCAGATCCCAGCTCCTGGCCCTAGACTCATTTGCATAGCTTACAAAACTCACGAGTACACACCCCATTTCAACGTTAAGCCATAAATCCACAACACATGTCAGGAACTGAGAATCGAGAATTGGAAAACCAAACAGCTAAAGGCGGCATAATATAAATATAACACACCAAAGTTACTTATTTGAAGTGGGTATATAGCTACAGATATAGTTATCAAAGCTCTGAAATAAAATCCCATAAGGGAGAACTGACCACTGTAATTATTGTTTGTGCTATTGTACAAATCGATTGAAAAAATAATAATAAAGGGTTATATTAAATGTGCGACTCTCAATAACAGCATCCTTAAGTTGCAGCCCCGTTCGATTTATCCTGCTCAGGTATAGCAACTCTTCCAGCCAATCTATTCCATGATTCAGAAGCAACTGGTTGTGCTTTGCAGCCACCTGACGTGCCTCGAGGCAATCAAATTGAAATTTATCGGTTGACCTTATTTGGCTTCTTATTTATGCCGCAGGACGAAGGACAGGATGTGTGTGAGCGCAGGGATACGAGTATTTAATGCTGGCCGACAGCTTTACACGACTCCAATGAGCCAGGGCCACGACACCGACATTTATAACCGGGACAAAGACAAAGGCAAAGGCAAAGGCAATGGCCACTTGGCGGATGGCACATCCCCGGGCCACGGCGCTCCACAGCAATTTTTTCAATCTCCACTAATTTATGTCAATTTGGATATTTATGTGCCGCACTGCGGTCGCAGCCCCAGCCTCCATACCCTATCCTCCAAACTCCATTAGCCCCACTCTCTACGGATCCGGGTCGAGAATGGGGCGGCAAGTGCTTTCCGCGCTGCGCCACATGCTGCGTAATTACAATTTGTTATCGCTTTAATTTAATATTGACGCATGTCGCATGCTGTATAACATACCGAGCAGCTATGCATGTATAGGATCCGAATCTGGGAAATAACAAAAATAACATTAATTTAGAACGCTGTTTATAAACAATAAAGTAAACTCAACATGTTTATACTTTTCTTGCGGATGCTGATTAAGACATTTTAATTAAATTTATATTTTTTTATTTACTTTTTGTCAAGTGAGGAAAACTAGTTCATCAATTAAAAATTTTTAAGAATTTGTTCTTCATGTTGTTTCAATGGCAGTAAACAATTGTGCATTGTTATTTTATAATGCGCACCAATTTAAATTAATTGGTAATTCGCATTTGATGTGTTCTACCAATATTTATTAAATGCTATCTTTTGATTTCCAATCATGCGGTCTTATTAGCATTTTGCAGGACTTCAACGAATATACTCCGTTAATGTACCAGTCACCCCAAAAAATTCCCAAGAAATCATCCAGCTTAGTTTTTAATTTGTAATACGGTCCATTTAAATCGCTGAAAATATAAAAATTCAAAATTTAAAAAAAAAATGTAAATTATTCTTACTTTACTTAAGGTCGCTGAATAAGACATATGTATTTACATATGTTTATCTTAAGCCAAGCTGTTAGTCAAATTATTTTTGTCAGCTTTAAATCAAAATGAATTTTTGCTTACCACATTGAATTGGCACTGCCCCACCAATAGTATTTCTTGCTAACTCCGTCCTCTATTTTTTTTCATTCCCATAAGTGCAATTTAAATGTAATCGCAAAGCGTCGCCGGCGTTTCCAGAATAAGCACCCGGAGATTTTAAGTTGTAATAGTCCTCCTGTGGTCCAATTTCAAAGTGATCATATTTAGCGAATGCTTTCACATTATCGAAGTCCACCAGTTCAATATATAGTTCGTGTCGGCAACTACTAGTAACTTGAAATAAAATTTCACGTTCAAAAAAAACTCTCCATTGAAGTCTCCAAAAGCACAAGTTTTAGTTGTTGCACCAAAATCGACACTTCCGTCGAAACGGCGGTGAATTAGCATCCAGTCGGGACCCTCGGAGGGAATATTCTCGAAAATAGCCGAAAACGGCATGTTTCCGACTGGGAAGTATCGCATGTCAGGGATCTTCGAGTGGTTCAGGAACACTAGAGGACCCTCATGCGGGAGAATGGGTTCACCTGGTCCGGTAATCAGCTCCTCGACATTCGTTTTTAATTCGTCTTGCTTAAGTCTGTTTTTCAACTCTACAATTTCACGGACCTTTTCATTGAGTTGCTCCTGTAGAGCCATCAATTTAATGTTTAAATCATCAATCTCAATATTTTTCTTTTCTAGTTCGTCTTGCAAATCGATCCCATCGTTCAGATCTACACGTTGCACTTGACTCACAAAAACATTTTCATCATCAATGATTTCGCTGGATTTCGTTTGAAGCTGAAATACACAAACACGTGAGAAATTTTGAAAATGATGGTACTTTCGAACTTCGTTAAGACTTACCGAATTATGACCTTTCAATGAATCCTGCAAGGATTCCTTGGCTACGTTTTCTTTTTTACTATCCATTGGTCGAAATCGAAAACAAGTTATTTTAAATTTTTTTCCAAATGTCCAAATGTATTTATGAAGACATCAAATAAGAATATGTACAGAGATTTTATTTGCTCTGCCCGAACCTCTATCAAGCCTCTGCTGAAAGCCATGCTCGAAGCTAATTTTCATTACTCAGCAAATCAAACTTGTGCGAACCAACAGCATCAGTAGGGAGAGTTCTCGCATTAGCCCTTAGAATAAGTATTCACAGTGGGACTCGATCGCATGTTGTACCAAACATGTTAGATCGAACATGTTGGCTCGAACATTCTCTCAGCAAAGCTCTGCAAAGGATTGTCAAATTTTTATATGGATTCTTAATGTATGACGTGGCAAAGTTCTTATACTCTATAACATAGAAATGGACCTGATCTGCTGTTTTTAATGTCATGCAAAAGAATAATCGATGGCGCACTAAGCTATCGATAGTTCAATCGGTATCTTACACCAATAAATACATACAGCTGCGGGCAAAATAATAGTAGTGCCTTTCCATAGATATATTTTCATTTGTTGATTTGAAATCGCTGCTGAGCTTATTTACATATATTGAATTAGTTAATTATTATCTGATGCTGAGTCCTCCAAAGATCCCAGTTTCTTCTTATTTATCGCGTTATAGGTAAAAGATTAAAGTAAGATCAATTTTGGGCTAATGAAGTAACTATAAAGCGTTTTTAGAGCGGCAGAGAGTCAAGATTTAAGATTATAGGAAAAAGTCAATTTTAGTCAGAACATAATACTCTGAAATAATACTTTGAATTTAGTATCTCTTTTTAAGAATAGTACTGGATCAAAAAACAAGTTAGCTAGCGGATAAATTTCAATCTTTCCAGTGTGACAGCTTTTTTGAGTGTTCATCATGAGTCGACAAACAGTACCTCAAGTACCTTGCCAGGACGAGTCTGCCGTGGTGCAAAGAAATTAAAAACCAATACAATTCAAATTTAAAATTTGTTTTTTAATTATTTTTAATTAATTGACCACTTTTTGGTAATTTAAAGTTCATAGCTGCACTAAATTCTGACATGCGATTTTTCTGAGTTTTATTGGTTTGTTTCTAAAATAGCTGGTTCATCCTAAGTCATTTTTTGGGAAAGCATATCAAATTTTGATGGCATCTGACTGCTTCAAAATTTATGCAATTTGCATTTGCAATTTAGTGCCTCTGACGGATTAGCCGGCAATTAAGAGGTACGTGTTTCAAATGCCAAATGCCTGCTGCATCGGCATCAGCATGTCTCACTAATTGTGGGAGGTGAGAGGTCGCAGTGCTCCAATGTAATATGCGTTGGCTTGATAACATTTCGATGTCTGCGGAGATATTGAAATGTAGTGCTCTTGTTCGCCCGGCAATTAAGTGCAAGCTGCCATCCGGCCAAGGCCCCTTGACATTTTCAGCCGTACAAAAGCATCCAACCGCCCAGCCCACCCACAACGCCCATATTGAATGTTGAGCCACAGCCAACGGCTCGGCAATATTAGCGGTATATGGCAAACAGCGAGGACTAAGCCAACAAAGTACCACGTTCATGTGGTGTTTGGCACAACACAGCACAGCACAGCACACACGGCAGCAGTTGAAGTCGCTCTCCGTATAAGAATGTTGAGGATGCACTGAGAAAAATAACTTAAAACAAGGATTTAGTAAAAAGCCCCTATAGCGAGATATCTTTCATAATTTTTCAAAATATGGGGACTGAAAAACTTGTGATTTGAAAATTTTGATATCTATTAAGATATTTTCAATACAGGCGAGCGGTATAACTCAAAATCAAAAATAAAGGCTTACAGTTTGCGATTTGCGGATTTGTTTCTGACCTCCCAGTGAAAAGTTTGGATTCCGCGTTACACATCTCTAAAGAATCAAAAATGAACTTTAAGTTCAACGACCTTGAGTAGGATTAACAATATATAACCTACATGGGTATATACGAAAAAATGTGATCAGTGTAGTATTAAGGAAAACTGATTATTTTTTCAAATGATTTATTAACGTGACACAACAACAAAAATTGTTTGATAAACTTTTTTTTAACATTCCTGATAAACTTTAATGAGTACTGAAAGTGTGTAGCTCATAAAATATAATATATCATTATACCCTTGCAGAGGGTATTATAATTTTGGTCAAAAGTGTGCAACGCAGTGAAGGAGACATCTCCGACCCTATAAAGTATATATATTCTTGATCAGGATCACCTCCTGAGTTGATATAGCCATGTCCGTCTGTCCGTCTGTCCGTCTGTCTGTTTCTACGCAAACTAGTCTCTCAGTTTTAAAGATATCGAACTGAAACTTTGCACACACCGTTCATTCCTTTGCACGCATTATATATGTCGGAACGGCCGGGATCGGCCGACTATATCCTATAGCTGCCATATAACTGATTGATCGGAAATGCCATAACTTTGGTGTTTGTAAAGTTAGAAAGTTGGGATTTCCTATGGGTTTTATATTTAGCCAATAAATCCGACCTAAATTTCATAAAGGATCGGCCGACTATATCCTATAGCTGCCATATGTTAAAGTTAGGAAGTTGGGATTTTTTATGAGTATTAAGAATGCATCATATGAATAATTTTGGAGAATATAATATACAGAATATTCTGCAAGGGTATATCAACTTTGGCTCTGCTCGAAGTTAGCTTTCCTTTCTTGTTTTATTTTAATAAACAATTGTTCAGCTATTTCCAGTCACATTAAAGTACCATTTTTAAGATAGATTAACGAAGCACAAAGGCAAAATCAAAACAGAAAAAATGTTTTTTTTAAGAATATTATTTAAAAACTGTTGATAAATAGCTAATAAAACGACAAACGGAACCCATATTTTTCTGTCGGTGTAATTATCTTTTCCCCAAAGCATTATGTGGTTTTGTTGGCATTTAATTTTAATTACTCTACGTGTACCGTGTGTATGAAGACAGGGAAGTGTTAGACGTCGCGGGAATGCTTTTGAAGGTGAAGCAATTGAGTTCTCGGTTCGGTTTTGTGGTTGCGACAGCAAGCGATTATGATTGTACAAACGTAACCAAGCTTTCTAAGCCATTGGGAGGGAAAATTAGGGCCTAACAACCTTTGACTTGAATCATCGCCAAAGAGAATGGTGAAGGAAAGGATTTCTGTGGAGATGTGAAAACCCTCTCTATACGAAATAAATATTCATTTTAGATTTGAAATTTAAAGAAGTAATTTTAAATATTTCCTGCAAAAAGCATATCTTTTCCATCTTATATTAGCAAACAACAATATTCGCATAACTCCCTTAATGGCTTTCCAATTTGAGACAAGTTTCTTCAAACTGAGGGTCTTTAACCTCAAGATGTTTTCATTCACATCCCATTACTCAAGTTGTTATCTTCAGAAGAAGATAAAACAAATTTATAATATCCTTTAATTGAAGCTAAGGACATTGCGAGTTGTGGATTGCAGACGGGCCACTGACTTCCTGCTCAGAGAGTTGGAATTCCCCTTGAAGTTGCTTGCTAAAATGCATTTATGACATTTTTCTTAGCGACTGTGGCATTGATTGCACTTATGCAATTAATGTCACCGCTCGACGCAAAAGCGGCGAACGTCGAGCGATGTGGATGTCACACAGGAAATCCATTTAGATATATAGTCATGTCTTTCATTCCATCCGCAGACCGACAAAGCTGCACTTAAGGATGCTGGTTGGGTGTTGGCTGGTGTTTTTATGGCCAAATCGAGGGAGCTACCAATGCCGCTGGCTTGAACGTGTTTGTTGGCAGGCGGCGGAGCTTTGCCCCAAAATGGCGCCGGGGCTTCAGCTTTCGGCTTCCGTTTCCCGTTGCTCGGCAATCGGAATGCAGGCGGCACTGTGGCCATTAATGGCCAGGTGCATATCGTGTTGCACTCCCCCGCCCTCCCCTGTCACACTCTATCATCGTGCGGGCACATAAATATCGCAAATGACTTTTCTGTTCATTTGGGCACTCGCATGCAACAAAACACTCAAATATTTCGAATAGGACAGCGCAATAAAACAATTGTTACTCACCTGTCAGGCTTTCATGCTGAAGTGGCAATAATTGAAATATTTGGTGGCAAGTCTAAGTTTAAAAATTATGTTTTGACTAGTCAATTGCCAATGCTGTACAATATCGAATTAACACGAATTTTCCCTTTTTCATATTATAAATTTAGATATAATTTCCTTATTTAGAAACTAAAATTAGTGGACTTTTCTGTTTATTCGGCATTTAACAGCTTTAATTTAATAAAAATAAGCAGAAATTACTCACTTGTCAGTAATTTGAACATTTGCTGATAAATTGAGATATAAGAATTTGACCCTTTTCATAAATATATATTTGATTCTTTAAAAAGAATTTGAAAATACTCAAAATGTGTCAGGGGATAAATAAGTAAATAAATAAATGTTCACTTTTATTGCTGATTTTGGTTTAAATCGCTAGTTATTTATTTAGTTGCTTGGCTGTAAATTGAAATATACTAACTATTTAATTTATTCCTTTAATTCATTTATGATTGCTATTTAACCTTTTCGTTGGACGATATCAGTTCCCCATGGCGACTGTTACTATTTTCTCATTTTTTGCAACAGTCAGATTGTCTTGATGAATTGCGGTTGTCTCTGTCAACTGTCGCCAACAAAACTATTAAACATTTTTAATTAAAAATTGTGTCAAAACTTTTTAATGAAACATTTCTGCTTTATTTCGTTGTTTTTAGCCCTTTCATGGGTGTCTCTTTTCTGTCTGCTTCAATTGCTTTACTTTGGCTTTAACCTTGACGTTTTTTATACCCTTGCAGAGGGTATTATAATTTTGGTCAAAAGTGTGCAACGCAGTGAAGGAGACATCTCCGACCATATAAAGTATATATATTCTTGATCAGGATCACCTCCTGAGTTGATATAGCCATGTCCGTCTGTCCGTCTGTCCGTCTGTCCGTCTGTCCGTCTGTCTGTCCGTCTGTCTGTCCGTCTGTCTGTCCGTCTGTCTGTTTCTACGCAAACTAGTCGCTCA